GTTCAAGGGATTTGTGATTATCTTGATGCAAAAGGCATTACTTATAGCCACAATGACGTTTTTCGCTTTGCCGGAGTGTCGAAGCCTTCCGGATGGGCTCCTTTTTTTGTGGTGGTGGGGAATAAATTGCGGTCCAGACTTTTTCCCGGACACCGTGCCAGGGTAGTTAGTTGTCTGGGGCAACCGGTCATTGATTTGCGCACATGATCGGAGCTGACTCTCCTCAATGGAGGATCCGAGCGACCAGTGTTAAATCGGGTTAGGTCAGAAGGCAGCTCGACCAGTAGATCCGCGGCTTCCGGCGCAAGTTGCCCCATCCGCCACCTGCTTTGCCAAGAGGCGGATTTGAGGACCTGCGTCATCCATCACAAGAGCACCTCCCAGCCAGCTCCCACCGCAGCCGCCGCGCAAGCCAGGCACCCAGGAACAGCTGCGTCAGGCCGCCGCCTCCCCAGACCACCACCAATGGAGCTCCTCTTAAAACGAGCAAGCTCCACCTCCCCAACTTCGACCCAAACCCAGGCTCTCTCTCCGCATCATCCCAATTCCCGACACACTCTCTCCAATCCCCATCAGGTCCGGACAAGACACCCATCAGTGCCATCATCGCGGGTCGCTGTGCTAGTTGTTTACCATCACCAGCTACGTTAATTGTTTGTGCTATCATTTACTCTCATTAATCCGAGTCCCTTGCGCAGCGCAGCGCCGTCGCCACCATGAAGGGTGCTCTCCTTACCGCAGCTGTGCTGCTCGGCTCAGTCGACGCTGGCGTCCACAAGCTCAAGATGAAGAAGGTCCCGCTGTCGGAGCAGCTTGTGAGTAGCACCAAACTTCACCTCCAACCTGGGCGCCGACGCCGGAGGCCGTGACTAGCTGACACGCGTTGCAGGAAACCGTCCCTCTTACTGCTCAGCTCCGTGGCCTCGGCCAGAAGTACCTCGGTCTTCGCCCTGACAGCCACGCCCAGGCGGTCTTCGAGTCTCGCCCGATTCGGGCCCAGGGCAACCACCCGGTGCCCGTCTCAAACTTCATGAACGCGCAGTGTAAGTGATTGATTGGAGCACAAGTTACGCCGCAACCCAACCGTCTTCACAGTCTCTGACAATGTCGCTCTACAGACTACTCCGAAATCACGGTCGGAACTCCTCCCCAGTCGTTCAAGGTTGTCCTTGACACTGGCAGCTCCAACCTCTGGGTTCCCTCGCAATCGTGCGGTTCCATCGCATGCTACCTGCACTCCAAGTATGACTCGTCGGCTTCTTCCACCTACAAGAAGAACGGCACCGAGTTCGAGATCACCTACGGCTCTGGCAGCCTGTCGGGGTTCGTTTCCAACGATGTCATGCAGATCGGCGACATCAAGATCAAGAACCAGGACTTCGCCGAGGCTACTAAGGAGCCTGGCCTGGCTTTTGCTTTTGGTAGATTCGATGGCATCCTCGGCCTTGGTTTTGACAGGCTGTCTGTCAACAAGATGGTGCCGCCCTTCTACCAGATGATCGATCAGAAGCTCATTGATGAGCCCGTCTTTGCTTTCTACCTCGCAGACCAGGACGATGAGTCCGAGGCCATCTTTGGCGGTATCAACAAGGATCACATCGACGGCAAGATCATCGAGATTCCCCTGCGTCGCAAGGCCTACTGGGAGGTCGACTTCGATGCTATTGCCCTTGGGGATGAGGTTGGCGAGCTCGAGAACACTGGCGTCATTCTGGACACCGGTACCTCGCTGAACGTTCTCCCCACTCAGCTGGCTGAGATGCTGAACGCCCAGATCGGTGCCAAGAAGGGCTACAACGGCCAGTACACCATCGATTGCGACAAACGCAAGTCGCTGCCCGACGTTACCTTCACGCTCACGGGCCACAACTTCAGCATCACTGCCTATGACTACATTCTGGAGGCTTCGGGCACCTGCATCTCGACTTTTATGGGAATGGACATAGCGCCTCCTGCGGGGCCCCTTGCCATCCTTGGTGATGCCTTCCTCCGTCGCTACTACTCCATCTACGATCTCGGCAAGGGCACTGTTGGCCTCGCGAAGTCCAAGAAATAAGTTGTCTGCAGATTGACAAGGTCGAGGACGCTTCACGATGGCATTGGTTTTATTGGACTTGATCAGTAACTGTCGCCTAATCCTCGGCACACATTTCAGATTTCCTTTCTCAATTGCACTTTCTGCGGGGCCCCGGCCAATTTGGCCATGGTCTTGATACACCCAAAGATCGACCAAGAAGCCATGCAGCAACACATTAGTTTTACTGGACAGTGTGAAGGTTCCTATTGTAAAATACAGTATGATTACAGAACATGGAACAATAAATCGTGATTTCCTCTCCATCGCTCTCGCTCCAGCCTCGGATGTGACATATTTTGCTGAGCGAGGTACACAGACTGGGATTCCTGGGGTTGTATCAATTGAATTAGTCGTTGTAGGCACCTTTGGTACGTGACGTCGACGCAACTGACAGCGACGCAAGGCAACCACAAGGCTTTTGAAGCTTGCATGTTCTTTTTAAGAGTGATAAGCATGCCGTTATGCTAGATTTACTGGTTTGCTATCTGGAATATCTTGCCAACTTATCTGGCGCCTCCATACCCAGTATTGGTGGCTGGGGTGCCTGTTTGTAGGTCTCGCCTGCAATGCGCACGGGCGGTAGTGTCACGTGAAGATAGCTGTTGAATCAGTCATTAATGCGCTAGGCCACTTACGGTTAGGCGTGAAAACTAGGCAAGGGAGAAGGGAGCAGTAATTGCAAATGGGAAGGTGGCAGACATCGGCTGCTGGCCCTCCTGACTGTTTTCCCAATGCTGTAAAGCCTCGATCAGTCTGCATCCGCAGGAAGGAAAAAAATCAAACCGAAAACACTCTGACACCGATGCGCTTGCGGGCGGCTATTCCCAGCGTGCTCTAACTCGAGGTGATGAGTCCTGGTGGTGGATCTGGATGACTTTTGATCCAACCAGGTCCTGGCAGGCTTGAGAGCGTGCCTCTACTGCTGAGCTGAGGAGGATTTTTGGAGTGGCACCAAGGCCACAGCAAACCACCTATCCAGCAGCCCAGTCCTCGCGAACGCGAAGCGCGACAAACCACCAGCGGCCAGCCCACTTCGTTTCCCGCCGTCCGTCCCCGTCCGCATCAGCACCCACTTCTGTGAAGCATTCCAACCCTGCGAATTCCGCAAGGGCCGAGCAAAAAACAAAGAAACACAAAATTGACCTAGCAGCACCACGCTCGCCTGCACCGCCAGCTTTGGCTTCTCCAACGCCCCCCGAAAGGATGGCGGCCGTCGCACCTGCGCAGGTCAATGGCCTGGGCGCTCCCCCATCAATTCCCGCCTCGCCAGATTCATCGACGTCTTCGACAAAGCGGAAACGCGACGCGACCGACGACGGCCCGGCCGTCCAGAAGACCAACGGCATCGACGGCGTTCCACCTGCAGCCAATGGAAACCAGCCGCGCCAACGCGACGGGAAGCAGCTCATTCGGGATTTCTACGAGGTTTTGCGCCGGTATGCCGCGCCCGCCCTTGCCCTTTTTTTCACCTTGCGCTCAGCTCCACGTCAAGCTTTGCGACGGTCTCGTCCAAGTTTGCCCTCTTTGCTGACGCCTCGACCCCTGACTGCTCCTGCACAGACATGATCCCACGCCCTCGATCCTCGCGCGACCCATCGCGGCAGATGCCACCTTGGACGAGCCTCAAGCCAAACGGCAAAAGGCCGAAGACGACGCTTCTTCGGCCCCTGCCCCCGCTGCTGCCACCACCGCCACAACCACAACTATCGACGACAAGGTGTCCAACGATGGCTATTCCACCCTGGATGATATCGTGGTGGACATTAAGCGGGCTGTAAATGACGCAATCTCTGAGCTGCAATCATCCATCGCAGAAGAGAAACCAGATGCTAGCGATGAAGCAATCGCACAGGCGCATCAGTTTCGAAAGCAGGCCATGGAGCTGTATCGTCGCGAAACCGCATACCCTGCGGTTGTTGGCGCACTCCCCAGCTCAAGTCTTTCCGGCGAGCAGCCTGATGGGCGATTCGCATTGTCCGTTTATGGCCTAGGTCCCCAGCCCAAGACGCTCTACACGAATCTCCAGTTGCCAGTAAGGACGTCAAATCGCCCCGAGGGCGTCTTCAGAGATGTGTCAGCAGCCCGGCTCCCGCCTGGTATCATGGCCACCAAGGTCATGCCTCACACGCCCACTACCAAGAAAAGCACCCAGGCGCCCACGCTGGGCCATCTGTTCCCCCCCGCCGCAAATTTGCCCACCTTGCAGGCCCCGAAGACGGCCAAGACCACGACCAAGGGCAACATGCTCGGATTCTACCACCCCGACCCCATCGAGAAGTGTGCCTACAGGGTGGGGCATACCTACTTCTCTCAGCCTGTCTCCGTGGGACATTGGGTCGACTACACCAACGCGACGCCGTCATCACACTCTCACGGCAAGACCAAGCAGAGGGAACGAGCGCAGAGCTTGGCAGGCCACAGACCATCATCGGTCGAGCTGGAAATGTCAGAAATGGAAACGTTATTCCGGAAGGCGTTTACCAGTTTTGCGCCCTCCAAGGATGACTCATCTGCCGTGGTGTCCTCTACTCAGGCTGGCCGCATCTGGTGGCAGCGCGTGGGGCAACGACAGTACCAAAGGATGATTGATGCAGACGAATCACCTGAAGATGCGCGAGACGAGCTCGCCGAAGGGGGGCAGCTCGCGGACGATATTGACGAAGATCTTGTGCAGGAGGCAATTTCCAACTGGGAAGAGCTTATCGACCCTGGCCTCGAGAAATCGACGGCAGGTGTCGAGACGGACGAGGCACAGGCCATCGACGACAAACTGGCCAAGGCCTCCGATCTCATCGAGACGCTTGCGTCATACCAGCGAAACCGAAATTTGACGCTGCCGACCAGCAAGAACCGCAGATCGACTGAACCTGTCAATGTGGACTTGCTCCATGGTGGTTCATTAATCGTCCAGCAACCGGGCGACGAGGAGATGGAGGCCTATGTGGCTCTGAAAAACCATCTCCTGGACATTATTTTGGAACTGCCGCCGTACGCCGTCTCGAGGTTGGACGGCGACAAACTGGGCGATCTCTTCATTAGTACGAAAATCGAAATCCGAACCGATGTTCGTCCCGGTGTCAATGAGGAGGACGAGGCCGCAGTCAAGGCGCGACAGAAGCAGCAGATGGTGCAGCAGGCGCAACAGCAACAGCAACAGCAAAGGCAGCAGGCGGCGCAAGCTTCGGTCAGCTCATCCCGGCAGCCCCACAGGACGCCCAGCATGTCAGCCGGGGTGCCGTATCCCAATCAGCAGCAGGGGTACTATGCGAACCAGACCCGGCCGCCGGTGCCGAACGCGGCCCCTCCCCCATACTACCAACAGAGCCCCGGCCAGGCCATGCCCCAGCCGATGCACCAGCGGCCGCCAATGCCGGGCGTTATGCAGCCGCAGATGGCCCAGCACCAGCCCCATCCTCAACAACCCCCACACCCTCAAATGCAGCAACATCCACAGCACCGCTCGACGCCTTCGCAGCAATACCGTCAGCCGAATGGATACCAGCCAGGATATGCTCAGCAGCTAGCCAAGTCGCAGACGCCGTACGGCCACAACAACATGCAGTATCCAGGTACACCAGGCCAACCTCAGCGCTTACCACACGGCTATGCGCACGGCGGTCCCATTGGCACACCCACGCAGCCGCAACAGCAGCCGCAACATAGGTTCCCGAGCTCTGGACAGGGCTATGCGACAGGCTACCCAATGCAGCAGCACCAACAAACTCCGCAACACCATCAGCAAATGTACCAGCAGCAGCAGCAGCCGTCGCACCACCCACAACACCCAGGTCAGCGACAGGGGTATTCACAATACACCAATGGTGCTGCCAACTTGCCGCCACGACCTCCGCAGCCGCAGATGGGTGTTGCTCAGCAGCATCCATATGGGCAGACCCCGCAACACCACACACAACCACAGCAGCACACACCGCAAATGCAAGGGCAGCCTAGGTACCAGCCGTATGCACCGTCCGGTCCCAATCCAATGACCCCCGGTCAGCCACAGCGGTACTCTATGGCTCCTGGGGGCGGTGGCATGCAGCCGAACGGAACCTCGCAGGGGATGTCACCGTCGCTGGGGCCGTCTGGCTTCTACACGCACATGACAGACACGCAGCAGAGCCAGCTTGTTGAGCAATCACAAGCGCAAGCGGCCCTGCAGGCGCAGGTTCGTAGATCGGTGCAGCAACAAACAGGGGCTCTTGGTGATAAGCTCATGCAGGGTGGTGGCGGCGTTGGGGCCAACGCAGGGCTCGCGGGCATCGGTCTAAAAGGGAGCTTTGATGTCCAGAAGCAACTAGCCGCCGTGGCGGCAAACAGGGGGGTGACTGGACAGCCGGGATCGGGGCACGGCGGCATGATGGGACAGATGCCCCCAGGATCCGGTCCGAGACCGCAGGTACCGTCACCGGCAGGCGCAGTGGGCACCCCAGGGGGCGCATCGCCGTCCATGAATGGGATTCCGATGCAGCCGCATCAGCGGCAGCAAATGAGCGCAAGCCCTGCCGGGTTCTCACACGCGAGTCCATCACCCGTGCCTGTGCCCATCCCTGGCGGAGCACAGACTAGGCCTCAATCATAGCCCGATGGAGCCGCCGGTTCTTGTGCCCCTGGCTGAGAAGAACAAAGTGGGGGTTTGCAGGGCTGGAGCGCCTACTGCACATGGCCGAGGCCTCACCCCGCTACCTCCAACTGTCTCTCGGTGAAGTCGGGGCGTGCAGCCAAGCTTGGGTTGCTATGCCCGTGTCACAATACTTAGAATCACTTTTCGTCATCGCCGTTTTCTTTATACCTTGTTTGAGTCTAATATTCAACCTCTTCGTTCTTGGTTCTCTCTATCTTCTAGTTTCTTTGGAGGCGCACGTCGACAAAAGGGATGGCCTCGCCGTTTGGAATCGACGTAGCCTGGCTGCTCAAGGCCAGCCTCACTAGTCAGTTTCCTTCTGGTTTCACAAACGAGGGGGGCGTCAAAGATGGGGGCAAATTTGGGTTCCTGGTCTAGTCTAATGACATGGGAGATCTTCACAGCAGAATAGGACGCAGCCGACCTGGATTGGGGGCAACGCCCACACGATAGCACTTCAGGGCCTCTTTGGGTGTGGCTTTAAACGGGCGGCTTGCTTTGGAGAAGAATAATTAAGCTCGTCCGTCCAGCTCTAGCTCGTTCTAATTCGTCAGTTGTGTTCCGATCCCGACGGCAGCACTCGTGTTCTCCCCGTTGTCGTTACAATGTTTCCTGTTTCCGTGCTAGTTGGAATGGTGATTTTTTTTTTTTTACTCCAAAGGGTTTGACTAGGGGTTCCCATATCCTGCTCCATTTCCATCTTGGCGCGTCACTTCCGTCTCGGCCATGGCTTGGTGTGGGCTCCAGCGGATGATCATCAGTGGGACCTGACTGCCGCCACACGCTGGCCGGGGCAGAATGGAAACAGCCGAACCGCTCGGGTCGGGCCGGGAAACGAGCCTAAGCGTCAGTTGAGGAGGAGACCCTCGACAACCCTGTCGAATCACAGTTACAGCTCGTAGCCGTTGCAGCATGGGTTCCCACTGGCCAGCAGAGACCAATTAGCCTGGAAGGCGGTCCGCTATTACGCACCACACGCTGCGCATGCGCTAATAAGAGAATTATTCGTCACAACGAGCCCGGTCCAATCATGCAGGTTTGCGAATAGCCTTGGTTATGACACATGGTATTGTTACATACAGACACCTCGGGAGGAGATTTTGGGTTTCGCCTAGCATTGGGAATGAGAAGAGAGAGAAAGAAAAGTGTGGGTATCATTCAGAGCATAGGAGGATATGTCTCGACGTGACATTACAGGCGACAAGATGCATGGTGAGAGGGGAGAGAGAGAACACAACGCAGATTATGGGGCGGTTTGTTGCTATGCCGAGTCGACGCCGGAGTCGGCGCTCGGGCGCGGGCGGTGCGACGGCACCTCGTCGTGCTGCTCCATGTAGACGCGGCGGAGCTCAAACATGACCTCGACGGCGATGAGGATGATGATGATCCACTCGAGGCGGGTGCCGTGCTTCTGGGCCGACATCTCGCGCAGGACGCTCGCCATCTCCTGGGCGTAGTCCATCTTCTCGTTGAGGGTGCGGATGCGGACGCGCACGTCGAGGGCCTTGCCGACCTGGTCGAAGTAGCCCTCGAGGTTGCGCTCGGACCCGCGGCTCTCCCAGAAGATGTCGGGCAGCGAGTCGGTCAGCTCCGAGTAGTGGTTCAACTGCGCGCGCAGGCTGAGGAGCTCGCCCGTCTTCTGCAGGATGAAGCGGCGGTTGTTGAGGCGCAGGTCGGAGCCGCGCGAGAGGTTCTCGGGCAGGCGGCGCATCGACTCGAAGTAGCCGTTGAGCGACGACTCGAGCACCGCGAGCTTGGTGCTCTGGGCCAGGCCCGACGAGAAGGCGATTTGGGCGAGCGTGGTGTCGAGGCGGCCTCCTCCTCCTCCTCCTCCCTCGCCGCCGCTACCGCTACCGCCGCCGTCGCTACCGCCGTCGCGCTCGCGGCGGGTGCCCAGCACGACCGTCTCGTCGCCGACGACGGCGCTGGCCTCGCGGTCCGGGTCCTTGACGAACTCGAGGTCCTCCGTCTCGCGGCTGCGCAGGTGCGGCTCCTCGGCCGCGGGCAGGAGTGTGCGCGTGGCCAGCGACTCGGCCACGTCGCGCGGCAGCGCCCACGTCACGACGGTGCCCGAGGGGAACACGAAGATGTCCCCTTGGGCCTGCCCGCGCGCGTGCACCACCTCGTGCGGCTCGAACCCGGTCCCGTCCGGGTCGAGCGCGAAGCCGTGCGCCGAGAGGATGGCCGTTACCTCGTCCATGGCGAACCCCTCGGCCACGCACACGGCGCTGACGAGCGACGCTCCCCCGTCGTCGTCGCCGTCGTTATCGCCCGG